ATCAGACGAGTCTGAATCCGAGGACTGGGATAAACTTTCCACCACTCCCCCGCAAGTGTATGCTCCGTTGTCTGTCGATGCATGCAGCAACACCAATTAGCGAAGGTTGAGGCGATGGGAGTAAAGGAGGCAAATCCGGTGAGTTTGGGTGAGTTGAAGGTTCAGAAGATGGAGGGGAAGGTATAGGAGTGTCTGGCTCGGGAGTTGGTGCGGGGGGAGCTCGAGGAACACCAGAATTGTCCTTGTCATCTCCCTCGTCATTGCACCCAACTTGCGGCTTGAACGGAGGCAGAACAATGAAATCGGACTTTAGAGACCTGTGACATAGCTTCAGCATCTCTGGCTTGTTCCCGGGAAAATACCGCTTGTCAAAAACGGCGCGCTCAGATGTAACCAGTTTCCTGGTCACAGGATTGTAGAACAACCATCCTTTGTACTCAGTGGGATAACCTACAAAGAGACACTTCTGGAAATGAATCCCAGAAGCGTCCCTCTTATCCTTTTGCACATGCACATATGCAAGGCAGCCCCACACCCGAAGGTGGGACACATCCGGCTTCTGCTTAAACCAAAGCTCATGAGGAGTAGTATCCTCTGGTATGTGAGACGATGGATACATGTTTGCAACATGAATATATGCGTTAACTGCAAGTGCCTTGAAAGATGGCGGCAGGTTCGCTTCATGCAACATTGCCGTTGTGTGCTCATCAATAGTGCGATTTGCACGTTCTGCTGTCCCGTTCTGTTGCGGACGGTTTCTCGTCGAATGACGACGCACAATGCCTTCTGAAGCCAAGTAGAGCTTGAACTCATTAGACATGTACTCTCCTCCTTCGTCGTCCTGCAACGCCTTGATTTTGCACCCAAAGTGATTCTCAGCATAAGCCTTGAATACCTTGAATGCATTGAATGTACCACTCTTGCGCTTCATGTGGAAAACCGCTTTGAAGCTTGTATGATCATTGATGAAGGCAACTCGGTGTCTCCAGCCCTCACGGGTAAAGACCTTGTACTCCTTCAGATCAAAGTGAATTAAATCAAGAGGCGCTGCAGCATGATGTCCAGTTGAAGGAAACGGAGCCACATTCAGCTTGCCTGCAAGGCAGGACTCACAGATCGGATCTGCAGTCCGGTTTGAAGTAACCTTCACACCAGTCACCAGTTTCTTGCTTAAGATCTTCTTGACATCGGAATAGTGACCCAAGCGACGATGCAAGAGACTGATATCAAGAGGCAAGGTCCCGACTGCAAGAGCCGAACCAGAAGGAGAATCAACCACCTCTCTTACATATGCCTGGTTCATCTCATCAATATCTGCTTCAAACAGCAAAGCACCGTCTCGACTGAAAGAGATGAGTGATCCCTCCATGAGAACAGAGTGGCAAAGGACGCGAGATAAATAAGTACTAGAGATGAGATTGTGGGAAAGTCTAGGAACATATAGCATTTGTAAGGAGAAGGTGACAGCCACTATGTCCGTGTATATGTGGTCTAAGCAGTACTTCCCCCACCAACTCGGAGTAGACAATAACTCTGTTTGCAACTGAGATTGGAACCCTGTGTGGGTGGGCATTCAACAAGCGCTGACGACGAGGTGTCATGTGCGAAGTGGTGCCTGAGTCTGAATTCCAACATTTGTCAGCAAGTGGTGAATCATAGTGAGCGAGAAGACTTGTATTAGGTGCAACATGGGACTTTACTCCCGCAGGACGTGGTTTTCCAATGAGGTCCAAGAACTTGTAACATTGGAGGAGCATATGGCCTGTCTTGCCACAAGCTGCACACTTCTCAGCAGACGGCGGAGTAGCAGCAAGAGCAACAGCAGGGGATGAGGGCAGATTTGAGGAAGGGTTGCGGCCATGGCTAGGCCGGAGAGTGGACTAACTTGACTGGTGTCACCCTCCTGATATGCAGTCCAGAATGCCTGATGATTGGCATAGGCCTGCTCAATGTCCTTTACTTTGAGATCGTCTGGAGACTGCTCAAATGGTGCTTTCAGAGTACAGGTCTTAGGCCTAGACTCCTCCAAAAGACAAATAGCAGATGAGACACAACCAGTGAGGGACAAGAGCGTCTCATCCTCCCGGAGATGGATGGAGGTGAGCGTCTCGTAGGCATTGAAGCGAGCTCCAGCCTTTATTGGAGCAAAGACGGTCTCCAAGTGGTCCTACAAAGCTTTGGGGTCAAAGGGCTTAACATCTTTGGACAGCATGCCCCAGAGGATGCCAGCACACTTCCCAGTGGCCACAGCATCCGAAGATGCTTTGAGACAGCAGTCAAAAACCTCCTTGCGTCGCAAGTAGGCTTTAGCATCACTCCTCCACTCAGAGAAGAGCACCTCTTTCAAGAGTATAGGGATAATAGAGTGGCTGTCTGAGTCGGACATAATGCACCCAACTGTGAAGAAGAGGTAGGTAATAAAAGAGTCCGTGAGGAGATGTAAGTATGCAAAGCTAATTCTACTGAACACCCAGTTGTAAGGCACTTGGGCCCTAACCCCAGACTCAACAGATTGACTACCGTTTGTTGTCTGGTGGATTAAAGACTACCTCGCAAAAGAGAATTTGTCCCAACAGTTGGTGTTCCTATTTACAAAGCTCACACACACACAGAAAGGGCAGGATGGATAAGAATCTCAGATGAAGACCTTCAAAGGCCGGGGCCCATGACCTGTTAGAACAAGCAGCACAGAGGTCTGGGTCAACAGTAAGAAACTCTGTTAGATGAATGTGAGAAGAGAACACACCTGGTCAACAGCAAGAAACTGGGGACCCAGGATGCAACTAGGCTACTTATATAGTTATCTAAATTGGATAAGTAAGCAGTATCAGTCAGCATAAGTAATGTCCTGAGTAAGCTATTAGCCAGCATGAGTGCTGACTGATGCTGACTGAGATATCAGTAAGCAAGATAAGTATCAACTAGGATCATGGATAGGATCATATAGGATCAGGAGTATGAGAATAGTAGAGTCCAACTACTAATCCCAACAGACTTGGCAAAATGTGTATTAATAGTTTCAGAAGCAATTACACGCCTCTTGGCTTACGTGTCGGTGCGTGCTCAACATTGCAGCTCTGTGGTCTGCTCCTGCTTTACATTGTCAATGCGGAGATGACGGTGTACAAAAGAATGCTCACCGCGTGGGACTCGTGTCGCAGCCAAAAAGTCAACTCGCATATGTTTGGGATGATCAACGCAGTAGCGTCAATTACCACGGCAATTTGCTTGCCTGTGCTGTCGAACGACCTCAGCTTGGGTGCAATCCACACGATATACTCCAGCATCGCTTCTACATCGCTATTCTGGTTTCAGACCACATGTATGGTGATCAGCGCCTTGGTTTGCAGCAACAGTATGAACAGCAACCTCCCTGCATACGTTTGAAGCTGCGGCAACTCGAGATGGTGCCCACCGAGGGAGGCAATGGGGATCTGTTGAACGTGGGAAGCCAGCTTGGTGTTTTCAGTTAGTTTCCACTTACACCATTACATAATATATGGATATTATTGTACCGTAACCCATGACCTGATAGTCTGCCCGTAATTACTCCGTAGAAGCATGGCATCCTTTGGCCGGTTAAACAGCCGTCAGATAGGTTCCCGATGACTCTACTAGTATTACTGTTACGGCCCAGTCATCTTGTATAAGTAGTAGTCCTCTTGATAGGAAACCCTATCGAGAAGAACCTCGAATACAACAGTTTTCCTTCAGCAGAACTTGGGCTAGACACACTCCTATTAGTCGTCCTCCCCGTGCGGTTTCGACCGCTGTTAGGATTCTAACAGGATTACGGCTGGCTGACGAGCTTCTGGATCCAGTGGCCTATCTTTGAACAACCTCAGGCTTGTCAAATCAGTGTGCCTGCTGATGAAGCACAATGCAGGCACCCATGTTGGACCGCCCAGGTCCTCCTTGAGTTTATGGATGCCTGTGACCCTGGTTGTAAACTCTCGCAACTGCCTGAAAGCCTTTCTCGTGAAGCGAAACATATTGCATAGAGTCTCTGATTCCTCGATAAAGAGGTGGAGCCTAACCAGGCAGGCGCGTTATTCTTCCAAGTATATGCGAAAACGCTGCAAGTCCGCCATGAATTTCCTTGGAACTGTGGTGCCGTCAGGGCCCAGCTGAACAATGCGATTTCGACTCACTCGTCGCAGTCTCGACCCAAGGATCGCTCGCTCTAGAAAGTCAAATTCGAAGCCTATGACCAGCTTGGCCTTTGACTCGTCTTCATGGTCACTATGAAGATTTTGAGCACTACAAGTGTCGTAATCTGTACATCGCAGTAGATGACCGCACAAATAACATTGTCCAGACTCTGAGCGGTAGTCGCCAGAACACAAAGCTCCGAGATTGAGCAGTGAGACGCAATTTCACTAAGCATTTCCGGCGCCAAACCCGGGAAACTAGCAGTTTGTGGCATGAGAGTTGCAGGAGAGTCACGGGGATCAATCAACGTGTCGATCGGTCACCCAGGAAACCGACCCCGACCCCAAAGCCATGGCAGAGCACCTCGGTACTGTGCAAGTATGCCTGCCACCCACTCTGCAGTCTCTTGCTAACAGTCTTTGCAGAACAACCAGGAAGGGGGAGCCTACTGTCGACAAAGAAAAGTTGTTAAAATACTGTATGGTCACAGTTGAACACGCGCACAGCGCCCACAACAAATACCTCAAGTCATACCACAACGAAAAACTGTTCATAAGGCACCACCTCGGTCTCGAGCCTCTGACCCTGCCAATCATGCGCTACACCCAGACCCATCTACTCTTCCTGCAGGCCAGTATGCTGCCGGTCCTTGTGCTGGATGCACTGCTCTCTCTAGCGCACCCCCCATCTCACGCAAATACTCGTGCACGGACCCAAATGATCTCACCGTCAAAGGCAAGCTCCTTGACGTAAATTCCCTGCTTTCCGCCCTCTTCCCATCGTAATGATTCCTATAGGAGCTGAAAGATAAATTCCGCAACATAATCACCACCGTCAATGTTGGAAAATAGCTGAACCTGGATTTGAACCAGGGACCTCTAAGTGATTGCGCCACTAGTACTCTTACCAACTGAGCCATTCAGCCGATAGTGTGCAAGGAACAAATCCATACTGCAACAGTCAAGACAGCAGAAATGCGCTTCAACAAGCACCCCGCCCCACCAAAAATCAAAGCTCCAGCTCCCTCCTAAGGCCAGGGTGCAGAATCCTCCTCAGACTCAAATAAATCAGATAACCACAACAACACCTCCTCTACTACTTCTTCTGCCTTCAAGCAAAGACAGCTCGATAGTGACCTTCCCTCTGATCCAACAGAAGATTTCCTTCCTCCGTGGCGCCGAAGTGCGCCAAAACGAAGACTTCTTCTATCATGTTTACTTCTTCCGCATTTAACGTGTACGGGTTGACGTGATTCGAGAAGACAGATATGAACTCTGTGTCATTCTCCGCGCCTTCGTATGGGTTCCCCGAATTCTGGAGTAAGGCGCCAATTTCGGGGCGCGCCGTATTTCTCCAATTTACTGCTAATATCGCAAAGCCGCAGGCTCTGTCTATCCAGTCCTCTGGGTCTTCGTCGTCAATTGGGTCCTCCTGGGCTCCTGGGCAGCGCGACAATCCATCCGGTGCGTGCGATATTCCAGGCGTGTGCTCAATGGCGAAATCAAACAACAAAATGGCGGCTTTGATGTACTTCGCGTCTGTGCGTACAAGCAGCTTAGGCGCGCCGACCAGGTAGATTCGGTAGGCGCGAAGCGCTCGGAATAAGCCGTAGAGTTCAATCTTGGCCTGTGAATAGCGCGCCTCGCGCTCGTTCCAAGTTATCGAACCAAATCTCGAGGGATACTCCTTCCCGTCTTCGCCTTCTTGTAGCAAGATGAATCCTGCGGCGATATATGATGAATCTACCGAAAGAATCACAAGGCGCCCGCAACCATAGTCGATTTGCCTGATGGCTGGGCACTCGATGAGAATTTTCTTCAACATCTCCATAGAATATTTCTCGTCGGCGCCAAAGACGAATTCTACTTCTTTCTTTGTTAGCCTAACCAAGGGGCGCGCGTGAAGCGCGAAATCCTTCATGAATATTCTCATGAGTCCCAGCGTTCCCAGGAAGGCGCGTACTTCTGTCAATGATTGACAGTCCGGCCAGTCGCGAATAGCCTGAACTTTCGACTCGTCCGGCGTCCTCCCTTGGTACGAGCATACGTGCCCCACAACCTTGATGCGCGGTACCGCCATACTAGTCTTTTTGGCGTTGAAGGTTCCCTCGGCGTGTTCCATGCGCTGAAGTATGCGATTTACGTTCTCCAAGTGTTCCCAAACGAAGCGCCTTATTCCTGAATTGAGCGCTATGGTCTCGTAGGTCCCATCCTCTTTCAGATAGTAGTCCTCCCCGCCTTTAACTGGCGTGTCGTCCACAAAGGGCTGAGTTATGTGAGGTATTTCGTCCCTTAATATGAACGCCACGTCGCCCTGCTGGATTTGGACCGCGTTCGTGTACCCCTGCGGCAATCTGGTAAGGCGCAGGGTTCCTAGGGGCGACTGAAACGTTGTGAAATCGCGCGACGCAATATCCAGTACTCTGTGATCGAATCCAACGAATAAATCGAACATCGCGTAAATAACGCGCCCTCCAAATGATTCTGCGTACAACTCTAGAATCGGTGGGCAACCCGCGTCTTTTATCGTGACAGCGTTTAATGGTTGCAGGTTGTGCACGATTCGCAGAGCGCCTTTTTCTGCTTTGGGTACGCAGAACCAGCTGGATCGATAGGACGATGAAGAGGGCTCATATACGCCCGACGCGATTTTTGCTTTGATAATCTTGACGACCTGGTCTCGAATGCCTGGGGGTATAGGGATATTCTTCTGCTGCCAAGGCGTGTGCTCAAGGACCGGGAGCTTTACTGGCTCAAAGTAGTCCTCCCTGAAACAGCCGCGCTCTGAATCGTCCCATGCGAGCGCCTTTTCGTGTACCTTCAGGATATTCGCTACTAAGCGCTCCTCTTCTGCCCACAGAAAGCCGTCTGGGTTTAGGTTCATCGCGTCTAGGCGCTCTTTAGTCAACCGGCGCCCGGGGGTAAACGCAGGTGGGTGTGGATTCAAAGGCGCCATATTTTCCAGAGGGTCAGACGGAAACTTCCGTACTACCCTGAATTCTTCAGGTAGGCTGGCCGACACCGAATGCACCTTCTTTGCCGCGGGTTTGTACTTCTTTTTCTTCTTCTTCTCCGGCTTCTCCTTCCCTGCTTCTTCAGGCGTCTCCTTTATGGTAAAGGCGTGAATTGCCTCGTCGTACTCGTACACCTGCGTCAAACAGAACTGCATATATGCGGGCGACACTTCCCAGATCTGCTCCGTGTCCGTGATCTCGATCTCTCGTATATGGTGCGTGTTGGTCCCCTCGGGGGAATACAAAATTAATGGCGGCGCCAGGCGCGCCATATTAAAAGTCGGTATTGTGGGCGCGCTTCGCCAGTCAGCTCGGCGCGCTTGTAGTGGTCGGTACCTGAGATGCATTGCCGGTGACGATATTAAATCAAAGTTTGCCTGGATGGCTTCCGCGGAGTCAGTTCCTATCGGCGCTGCCCCGCGCCTTGAAAACCCACGTCCGCTCTGACTTCTTGTCTGAACGGGTTTCGCGCCTTATTCGATTTCTTTCGGGTAGGAATCGTCACCTTGCGCCCGGTATTAGGGCAAGTGAGCGTTATTTCCTGGCTTCCGTCCGTGTTATCCGTGGTAGTGCAACTGGTGAAGCGGAAGAAAGGGCGCCCTAAAAGCAGATCGAAAGGAGCGCCCTGCACCACGTGGACGTGGAAGCGCAAGTCGAGCCCGCCAATCCCTATCTTGAAGTCGCTAATCACTCCCGCCGTCGCGTTAGATTGTGAATTCGCCGACTGCATATTCAGAATTTTCTGAGGGTCCAGTCCAACTCCCAACTTCAGCCAAAGGTCTTTATTCATGGCGATTATTTCAGAGCCCTGGTCCAGCACCGCTTCCACCTGAACTGAGTCGTCCAGAATAGGGTCAACCACTCGAAGCGCGTCAATTTCAGAAGACGTAAGTTTGTCTTCTCTAATGTCGCCGCCGTTTTCTTCGTAGCGCAAAACGTACTGCGACTCGTGCGCTTCTTCTGAATAAGAGACGCCCACAGTTGGAACCTTGCGCGCCGTCAACTGGTCCTTCAAGTACTTCCTCCCCTCGGGGAATATAGCAAAGAACTCCTGAGGCGTGATTTCAAACTTCGTAGCCAGCGCCCTGTTAACCATGCTACCCGTGTTGATCGCGTCCTCGATAGGCGCTCGATATTTCTGCACAAATGGCTTCGGGCCTGAAGGTATTATTTCGATCACGGGCGCGTCGGTTGGCGCCTTCGCTGCAGGCGGCGCCATAGTTCTTGGCGGCGCCTTCGAAGGCCCTGGTTCTGGCGCTTCTCCGGGAGCGAATGCAACCTTTTTCTTCGAAGGTGGGGGTGGTCGAGGCGGTAATTGTACGCCATCGAAAACTTCTTTCCCCTTTCCGCGCTCCTGCCTTTTCCTTGTTTCGAGAAACGTTTCAATTTCCTCGATTGCCAGTTCTTCAATACGCGCGCCGCTGGCCTCATATGCCATGGTTTCAGCAGTTTCTCCTTCTTCCTCCTCCATGGCCGAAGTCGCCATGTAGAACATGTGGGGCGCCGGGTCGCGCGTGAACATATTGGCCTGGACAGGTGCCGGCTGCTGCTGCGCATGCCACTTGTCGATGCGCTCGATGAAAGTAGCGCCAGTGATATAGCGCGGAATGTAATTCCCTGCTGGCAGAACAATGCGATTTTCAGCGTTCTTCTTACACTTGCCGGCGCGAATGTATTCCTCGATCTTCGGACACTCTCTCAGGAAATGCCCCGGGTCGCCACAACCTCCGCACTTTCCCTCGACAAAAGGACCCGGTGCTTCGTTGAAAGGTGCGCCGTTATTATTCGGCGGAGGGCGCCTTTGCGCGTCGTGGTATGCCTGGTTCTGCGCTGGCAATGAGACGCCCTGCTCTCTATTCCAATTCTGGCCTTGCGCCCGATTCTGATACGCAGGAACTAGCGCTCTTCCGTCTCGCTGTGCCGGCGCAGTTTCCACTTTCCGAGAGAGCGACTGAATCTGCGCCGTGAACATTTTGTTCATATCTTTCATGGCGCTGGTGAGCTCCACCATTTCCTTCTTTATGAAGGTGCTATCCTCGTCCGTGTCTCTGTAGAGTACGCCAGGTGTTCCGTTTATCGCCCATTCTGCCGCCTCGATTACGTGCGCCATTGGGTAAGGCTCGTCGCTTGGCTGACCACTTCGAACCACTTGTAGCCTCGCCAGGACTCGGAGACGGAAATCAGGGTGTATGCCCCTCATGAACTGTTCGTCTATTTCGCGGTCTGAAATCTTGGATTTCGACTTCAAGAAATCCGTTATTCTCTGGAAATCCCTAGTGTACTGCCCGAGCTCGTCCCGGTTCGCTGGCGATTTCTGCTGCGCCACGCGCAAAACTTCCTTCAGGTCCTGCCAGGTGTACATTTTGTCCCCATCGGCGCCAGGGTACAATTTAACGATGGCGTCTTTAAAGGCGCGAAACGTCATTCCCGGGGTCTTTTTCCTGCTCCAGAGCTGTTCCTCGTCGATATCGAGATAGCGGAGAGATATATTAATGAGGTCATCGTCCGTCGTCCTCTCAGTTTCAGTGCCTACTTCCTCCACGTCTTGGAAGTACCGGGTCAAATGACCTGGTTTCCCTTCAAAGTGAGGCGCCTGTTTCGATCCTCTAGCTGGAAGTGCTCGGGGCGCCATTTTCTTCGTAGGCGCCTTTTGCGCGGGTTCTTGGTTGGATGGAGGTGAAGGTGGGTCGCTGGATAAGGTAAGGGAGGAAGGGTCCGAGATATCGGTGGTTTCAACCGGCGAAGACGCTGGTTCCGTAGGTTCTAACTCGGTGAGATCCGAGGTTTCCGAGTCGCGCTCTTCGTCCGAGATAGAAGCGCTTTCTGCTTCGCGCGCCTCGGCAAGATCGATTTCCTGTTTTAAGTTCCTACGCGGGGCTGGCGCCGCGCGTTTTGTAGTGGAGACGCGCTGT